CCTACCCCCACCCCCCCCCCCACCCCCCCCACACCCCCCCCCCCACACCCACACCCACCCATACCCCCCCCCCCCCACATCCACACCCACACTCCACCCACACTCACACACCCACACCCACACCCCGCACCCTCTTGTGTGAATGGGATCGAGACTGTAAGAGGTACGATGCTATCCGCTAGTGAATATTGAGAGGTATATTGAAGAGCAAGACCTGAAGTTGAATGAACAATATTGGATTGTGGTAGTGGAGTCAATAACGATAATGGTAGTAACGGATATAATAGAAACAGGATTAAGTTATACATAAAGAAGATCATTCTGCTGTTGATTATGTTAGGTCCAATGTTAGCAAATACTACAAAAAACAATCAATAGAAGAGAGAAAACAATGCAATATTATGTACGTAAAGGGAAACTTTGTTAATAAGTTTGTGGGGGATGACGTATCCGTAAAGGATAACGTCGCAGGGGGAGGAAGTGTCTAACGTGGGTGTAACAGACACAGTTTCAGTTTGTGGTTCGTAATATGGTTTGATCCGATCAATATTAGTTGCATCAAGGTTAACGTTGTCGCTGAGACGCGTGGCAATAAAAGTGGACGGAGAGAGTTCTTCTATAAGACGTCATGGACCTTGATACTTGGGACGTAGTTTGTTGGTGATGGTTGTGTTGTTGATTTGAGGTGTAGGGATTTCAATCCATACGAGATCACCTACAAAGAATTGGCAAATTTTTGGTGTGTCGGTCGTATTTAGCTTTTTGGCTAAGTTTCTGGATTTTCGAGTGTTCACGAACAAGATGATGGGTAACACGAAGTGCATGAGCTAAATGAGTACGATATTGTTGAATGAATTTGTGTTCTGGACTTATAGGTGGGGGATCAGGAGCAGGTCGGTTAATAATGAGATCCAGTGGTAGTATTGGGTCGCGACCTAGATTGAGATAGGCAGGTGTGTCGCCTGTAATTTCGTTAACAGAAGTACGGATTGCAAAGGCGAGTTTTTGAAGTTCCTTTTCCCAAATGCCGGGATAACGTTGTGCATAAATAGCGATTTGTGCTTTAAGTGTACGGTTTACACGTTCGGTCATATTTGTTTGTGGGTGATAATTTGCCGTAAGTTTGCGGGCAATTCCCAGATTGGTGCATATTTCGTTGAATAAGTGGGAGATAAAGTGGAGAACATTGCCTGATAGGATATAAAGAGGAACTCCATAGCGGCGGATGACTTCGTTGATAAGTATATTGGCAATTATGGTAGCCGTAGTTTGACGTAAAGCGAATGGTTCGACCCACCGCGTGAAGTAATGAACGATGACCAGAAGGAATCGTTTTTGTCTAGGAGTTGGGGGAAAGGGTTTCATAACATCGATACTAATGGTATGCCATGGTTGATATATGGTATGTAGTTGCATAGGATTTGCTGTAGGAGAGTTGAAATACTTGAATTGTTGACATGATGAGCAAGATTGGACGTATTTGAAGACATCTTTTCGCATTGATGGCCAGTACACAGGAGATGATAAGCGATAGAGAGTTTTTAGACGACTAACGTGACCGGCAGTAGCATGGTCGTGTGCCAAATGAAGGATTGCTTTCTGGAGTGTTTGAGGAATAACGAGGAGATATTTATTACCAAGGAGCCGTTGATTTGTGTAGGAGTTGAAATGTCAAACTTTATAGAGAGGATTGTTAATAACAATGTATGGAGAATGTCTCGTGTTGAAAGGAAGGTAAAGTTGTGAAGCGAGTAATTGAATAATGCGTAATAGATGAGAATCCTTGTGTTACTCTGAACGGATGTCGTTGAGAAGATTGGTGCCATCTAAAATGTTAATACTTGATTCGGCCGAGTTTATGCGATGTTGGATAATGATGTGGTACGGAGAGAGTTTTATAGCCCATCGTGTAAGGCGGCCAATTGGATCACGAGCGTTGTTTAGCCATTCCAAGGCTTTGCAGTCAGATCGTACGATTACTGGGCCACCCTCTAGATATTGGCGAAAATGTTTAGTTGCCCGAACAATAGCAAGAGCTTCACGTTCCACTGCACTATATTTTCTTTCAGCCGATGAGAGCGTGCGACTTGCGTATGCGATGATGCATTTTCTATGGTCGTATTCTTGTGTGAGAACGCATCCAATGCCATATTCGCCTGCATCGAGTTCGAGAATGAATGGATAAGAAATGAGCCGTTGTTTTAACGCGTGGAACGTACCGTGCAATCATTATTCCAGGCGAGAGGAGAACAAGACAGTGTAGGTTGGGGAAATTGTTCAATTGTGGCAATCAAGCAGGGATCTGGTTTAGTACCATTTGGGGTAATAAGATGTCCGAGGAATTTTATTTCTTGTTGACAAAAATTGCATTTTGAAGTCTTGAGTGTCAGATTGGCATCAGCAAGAGCTAAGAAAACTTTATAAAGATCTTCAAGGTGCTGTTCAAATGTTGAGGAATAGACGATGATATCATCGAGGTACACTAAACAGCATTGCCATTTAAGACCAGCTAGTACAATATCCATAAGTGGTTGCAAAGTGGCTGGTGCGTTGGTGAGTCCGAAATGCATCACCGTACATTCAAATAATCCTTTGTGTGTGACGAATGCCATCGGTGCTTTACCTGGTGCATCCATTTCGACTTGCCAATAGTCGGAACGCAGATCTAATGTTGAAACAAAGTGAACATGTTGTAGTGCGTCTAGTGTATCATCAATGCGTGGAATCGGATAAGCATCACGAATACTGATCTCGTTGAGCTTGCGATAATCAATACAGAAGCGAATGGACCCGTCTTTTTTTAGGTGCGAGTACCACCAGAGACGCCCAAGGGCTTTTTGAAGGAACAATTATTCCTTCGTTGAGTATTTCGTTAATTTTGTCTTCAATTATTTGTCGACGAGCGGGGGCCTATCTATTAGGAGGTGAGTTACGAGGTTTGGTTCCAGGTTGTACATCAATGTGGTGTTGAATTTTATTGGTTCGTCCTGAAGTATTGGTGAAAACCTGTGGAAAAGATTGAAGAAGGTTGAAGAGATATTGTTGTTGATCTGGAGATAATATAGAGTCTGAAAAGTTCAGAACTTCTGATGGAAGGGATTTGTCTATATGCGAGATATCGTGAAGCTGCAGTTGTGTTGTTGAATATGATAGCGTCACATGCTTGTGAGATAGGGAACGTGTTGATTTTTTTATATGATGAAGTAAAGATGGGCGAAAATGAGTATAAGATGATGATGTGGTTGAAATAACGACAAGGAAGGGGGCGGTTTGCGTTGTGAATTCGTGAGGTGTGGATCAAGACGTTGGAGGACATGAAAGTTGATAAGAGTAAGCGAAGAGCCGGTATCGATTAGAAAAGTGACTGGTAAGTTCCCAATTCGGCCATATACAGTAAGAGGATGGTTAGGTGAAGTGTCAATGACGTTGACATAAGACAAATGTGTTGACGACGGATGAAAGTAGGAGTTTTGTTTACCCGTTCCACGAAAACTCCTTATGTATTTTTTGAACGAGGGGATAGGGGTTTTGAACCGAAGTCATTTGATTTGATGGTTCGTTTGGTATCGCTCAGAGGGCAGTTTGATGCGTAATGACCACTTTCATAGCAATGCCAGCAAGTGGGATTAGATTGAGCGGTTGACACAGGATATGAGTTACGCAGTGAATGATGAGTCGGCGTAGATAGTGACATAAGAGGTGTAGTATTAGTTCTGGTGAACGTTGGTTTAGATCAAGGTGTGTTACGTAAACGTAGTTCTTTGTTTCTGAGATAAAGGATTTCTTCGACTTGTTGAGCTTTGACAATTATTTCGTCAATGGAGACTGAACGAGAGACGTTCATTTGGGTCAACATATCGGGTCGCATTTTGCAAAACAGGTGTTTAATGAATTCTATTTCTTTTTCGTCAGATTTTTGTTCAAGCCAAAGTGATCGTAGACGAGCGACAAATTCATTAATGGTTTCGTTTTCTTGTTGTTTACAATCTGACCATTCTTGTTCCTGCTGTGCTGCTCGAATAGATGAATGGAACTGAGCAAGAAAATGAGTTACGAACTGATTCCAGTCAGTAGGAATCGTATTTGTGATATAAAGTTGGCAATACCATTCTAAAGCAGAATCTTTTAAAAATTGTGAAATACCTTGAAGTAAAAATCGGTCGACCAGTTGTTGACAGTTCGAGCGTATTCTGTCACTCGTAATAAAAATTGTCGTGGACAATCTGTTGGTTGTCCGGAAAAAGTAGGGAAAGAAGAGATTGGTGGCAATACGATTGTGTCGGTGGTTGGTGGTGCCATTTTGTTTGTAGCATTTTCCGTACCCAAAGGGCTATTGTTGAAATTCACTTGTGTGTTGTGAGCGTTGGTGGACAAGGGTGCTGTATTCGGGTACCGAAGAATGGGAGATACGGGTCGATTGGCCGGGTTAGTGAGAAGTAGGTTTCTTATTTCGATGAGCTCGCTGTTGAGGTTTTTCATATTGTTTGTCATTTCGGACCATGTAATTTCTTTAGCAGCGATGGTTGCATTTAGGTTAGATTCCATGACACATAATTCTTGTTGAATTTCTTCACGACCTATGACGATTTGAGAATCAAGTTGTGGTTTGCATAGAGTCTAATGTTTCTTGAATACGTTGGATAACCTCACCATGTTTTATTAGAGTATTGGATATTTGACGAACAACTTCGTCGATTGGAACCTTTTGTTCGGCTATATGTGTAGCGGTTGATGAAGACCGGAATAATAAGGCAATAAATGTTGAATTGTGATAGAAGAGCTGGTTAGATAGTCAGGGTCGCCAGTTGTGACGATTTTAGATAGAAGAAATGCTTGCATGGATGGAATTATGCTTTATTTAGCTTCTTTATATCAATAATCGCATCGTTTACATCCACAACACGTGTTTATATACGCAACCAAGAAAGAGAGAGAAGGAAAAGATACAACAAGAGAAAAGATAGACAGAACAATATAAAGATGAGAATAACAGGAAAGATAATTATGGAAGATGATATATGCATTCCTATCAACAGAATACGCAATGAGCTAATCTTTGTTATGAAAGGATGAAAGACAAGAGATATGTTGGCGAGGAAATACCAGAGAAGATAAAACGTGACGTAAGAACGCTCTCAGCCTAGAACGTCACATAAATATTCTTTTTTAGACGTTTACTTGCTGAAATTGAACGTGGTTATCACGAAGTTCAACAACAAAATTAGAATAAGATGCTGAAAAATGACGAACAATGAATGAAAAATATACAAATATTTAAGAATAAGTTGAAGATAGACATGCTAAAGGAGATAAATTATCTAAACACTTAAATCAATATAAGGCTAAAAAAAACTTCATATTAATAAAAAAAAACATCGAAAAGCATGTGAAGAACTTGAAACTGAACAACGTGAAATTGAAAAATAAATCAAACTATTTCTACTTTTTATTGAAATTTTATTCTGATTGATGAACGAGAATGATTATTGAAACGAACTCAGTTTGATGAGAGCAATATAATCGTTGAACATTGAAAGAATTATCGAAAATAACTTAAGACTAATTGACAAAATATTTTTTTAGGATAAAAATTTTGTGGAAATCAAATGATCGCTCGTCCGATATCAACTCATAGTAATTGTCATCCAATAACTTGACATTCACAATCAATAAGTTCTGTTTCAAAAATAGCTTATTTTAAAATATTTATTTTTGTTTTATGAATTGATATGATTGAAGAATTGTTTTAAGATGAAAGTAAAACTTCACTTCAACTTGATTTTGTTAGTCGAATAACTCGTAGTTATGAATGTCCAATGGTTTAACCCATGATTTAAACAGCTATTGGAAATGCAATGAAAGATGAAGAGTATACTGTATTAAATGCCAAACAAATAAAATCTAATTTTTTAAAAAGTAACTTACGCTAGTTGGATTTCTGTTACAGTGATGTTGCACATGAAAAATGTAAGGAAAAAAATAAATTCGAAACGATCCGTCTGATAAACTATTTAATCCTTTGCGGATCGTTCTTGTATATATACGGCTTCACAATTGAAACAGAAGATGGAAGATCTTTGGATATTTTGAAGTGGGATGATTGTATATTTTGTATCTTTTTCTATCAGAAAGTTGGTTGTCCCAATCTCTTTCACGTTATAACTAATTGTGATGATACCGTTTATCACTTCTTGAAAAAAAGTCAGTCCTCAAAGGGTTAATATCTGTAGGAAAACAATTCCTAGTAATGAAGATGCATATGATAGTTATTCGTTATCGATACCATCTACATCTATGTTCTAGACAGAAATTTATATACAGATCGTAATATGAATAGTGCACGACGTTAATATCAAAATTATTCTGCAGAATGAATATTGATATAATTGTTGTATTTTTCATATTGTCTCACTTTCATTAGTTTTTGGTTTCTAATGATCAATATCTCGGTGTATATTACAAATATTATTGTTAATGAGTTATTGCTATAAAGCGCCTTACATGAAATTATTAAAGCTATGGAAAACTACAACGAACAAAAAAAGAATCAAAGAACGAAAGGAAACAAGATATTTAACATATTAAAGTAAAACAAGAGCACGAATAACGGACGCTTCAGAATAAATGGATGTCTCATTTCAGTGAACAAATGAACCTTTAAAAAAGATATCAAAGGATTCAATTCATTTTGAAACATTCATTAGATTGTGCAAGTGCAAAAATAAATCCAAAGCATCAAAATACCAGACGAATAATATGAGGAATGAAAGATATTAGTAATTTATATAATCCCTTTTTTCTTTATTATTTTTAACTATTTGTGTTTTGGTGTAATTTTAATGATTGAGTCAGATTATCCATAGATATTGAAAAAGGCGAAATCTCAATATCGAACGACGTCTTAAATGAATATGAACAAAAGTAAAAAAGTCACTTTTAGTTAGAAAAATCGGAATGCACAATTTAATTGCCAACGATACGTTTTATACATTTATATCTGATTTTCATTTCATAAAAAAAGAAGGTTTGAATAATGGAATTTAGTATATTTAATAAATTCTAAAAGAATCACGTTCAATCCTCTGATTATATTATAGAAAAGATTAAAATTACTCTCTAAAAAAGTCGTATATATGTATCAATTTGATATATAAGCCATTTTCGTAGCTTTGGATTTACCAGAAATTGTTGCCATAATGGTGATACTACTATTACTTAAAGACAGATTAGATAACCACGTAATTCATGATATAGTGGATGTCATTGATAGCAAATAAAAGCAAAATAAAAATTTATAATATAATCCAAATATCACCTGTGCTTTTATTATCAATTCTTTCATATATTTTATTTCAGTGACCACTAATCATTTTTGTATTTTTAGAAAAAATGTTTTATGCAAGAATAATTTATTTGTCAATAAATGTCATTTTAATTTCTAATTGATTTATTTCTTTGAATAAGAATGAAAAAAATTGTCTTAATATATCAGACAATCAGTAAATGAAATATCAATACCAAATTCAATCATTTTTTCTCAGTGGTGGATCTAGGATTTTTCTGATGTGGGAGACTAGGGGCGATCATGATCATAAAGCGTAGTATCAACTTATTTTTAATCCTTTTCTGCTGCAAA